GAAGCGTCGTCTGCTTATGCTAGTGCATATTTGGCCGCTGCGTGGCAGCAGTACTACGCATCTCTGCATAGGCAGCAAGCGGCGAGTCGACCTCCCCAGTGAGTACGGTCGGAAACGTCCAATGACAAGGCGCCGCGTAGAGAAGCGAACTAGACTTACAACCATATGATAGCGTTACAGTATTTACTACTTGTGTTGAGTTTCGAGTCCGGCTAGGATGAGTGACTATTCGACGTTATTCAAGTTGAAGCAGATCCAATGGCCGTCTCTGGCTCATCAAAGAACAAAAAGGCCCCAGGAGACGATGAGGAGGAAGTGCCCAAATTGAACGAAGATCTCGAGCAGGCGTTGGATAACGCAGATGAACTAGATGGTGATGCTATTGGGGTTTTGGGATACGCGGGAGCTCGTTGTGGAAGGCATTCATGGGTCGAAGTCGCCATCCACTCACATCTGGTCTGTCGCAGCCACTGAAGTCTCGTTTCGTTGCGTTCCTCGTAGAGCGCCTCGCTGAATGCTATCTCGTAGTGCGGGTGAACTCGACGGATTTCAATCGCTGCGACTTACTCGAACTCCGGCCGTTCAGGTGATGAATCGACCTCCTCTTCATCGGATGAGGATTCGGATGCCGAGATGCTCACTGAGGATGTCGAGAAGAAGATTATGGATACTCTGAATCGCATCAAGAGCCACGACCCAACTCTCAAGGATAGCAAGGAGGCGGTGTTCAAGGATGATGACTTCGAGGTTGAAGGTAGTTAGGATAGTCTAATGGGGGAGCGTGTGAATGCAATGATGATGGTCGGTGGTTCGATCCTCGCGAGGGGCTTTTGTGAAATTACGCCTCCATTCTCAGGGGACGGGCAGAAGAAAAAGAAGTCTAAGAAATTAACTCACAAAGAGCTCATGAGGAAGCGGCTTCTCGAGGAGGGTGCCGAGGCCGCAGTGGAAGACGAGGACGAAGAGAAGCAGGTACGTGATCCATGCTCCATGAGCTTGTGCATGTCTATAACGTTGTGTGGCAGGTAGCTCAGACTTCCCGGCAGGCAGGGGAGGATGCTAGGAGGGCGCTGATGGACGCAATGGGTGTAGATGAAGACGATGAGGATAACGCTGGGAACGACAGCGACGATGACTTGTTCACCGTCAGAGACAAGACTATGGAGGAGAAAGATGTTGAGGTGAGAACTCGAAACCTACCCAAGCGGTTCCTACGCTTTGAATAATTCTCGTTGAGCGTGGTTATTTTCCTTATAGGATCGCGAATACAAAAAGTGGGAGCGGGGCCAGCTGGCAAAGGCAGCCAACGAAGGGAATGAACAGATCCTGATGGAAAGGTAATAATGAGTTTTTAGCAAACAGCAGGCTGACATTCTTGCTAGATACTTCCGGGACTCGGACGAGATGGGCGATAATAAACTGGATGACGAGGATGCTTTCCTGAGGGACTACATTATGAACAAAGGTGGGGGAAATCGAGGCAGTTGACGGGATTGAGAATCGGTGTTGGAGTGTATGTTCGCTTTCTTCAGCTGAAATCAGGAGTTCCCTCACTAATTATAGAATTTCACACATGAATTCGGGTAGAAATGCACAGAAACTACTAATGAGAATTTCACAAAATTTGATCAGAATTTTCATATTGTCATCAATTCATGTAGTTGACTGAATGCACAGTTTCTCACGGGATCAGGCTGGCTGGAGAAGGAGTCTATGCAACCCAATGAGCGTGATTCGGACGATTCTGATGACGAGCTTGACCGCGAGGACGACTTTGAGCGGGAATATAACTTCAGGTGATTTTCAGACCAATTCGGGCCGATTCACTTTCAGCACTCATTTTCCTTTGTCAGGTTTGAGGAGGACAAGGGATCGAGTCTCGTCGGGCACAGTCGAACGGTAGTGTCGGGTTGAGTGTGTTTAGTAACGGCTCGGACATCGGGGTTCTCTCTTCGGATGCTAGGTGACTGATAGTGTACGTGTGAAAGACGATAAACGGAAGAGGAAGAGGCAGGAGAAGGAGGCGCGCAAGGCCGAGGAGAAAGCGAAACGAGCTGAGGAGTTGAAGCGACTGAAGAACATGAAGCGGCAGGAGATTCAACGACGACTCGAGGTCATCGCGAAGGTAGTATCTCTTCTGAGATACTCGAGCGTTTGGTCCGATACGTTTGGTCGGAATTTGGGTTCTTAGGTGACGGGAAGTTCCGCACCGAAACTCGCGGAGAGCGGGGAGGAGCTGCTTGATGCCGAGTGGGACCCCCAGGCACATGATCAGTTGATGCGGGAGACAGTGCTGGGTGACGGGTGAGCAACACTTCGTATCAACACTTCGGATCTTCGATCGCGGAGCGCGTGTTGAGGCAGATTTACCCACAGCGGCTGTCTTGGTTCAGATACGATGAACAGGAGGAGACAGAGGAAAGTGTTGAGGAGAAAAGTCCCGAGGAGAGCAACGAGAGCACTGCCGGCTTCGCTAATGATGAATCTACGCAATGGGGACAATGGGACGGGTTGGAGGCTCAGGACGAGGCCGAGCGAGAGGAGCAGGATGACGAGCATGAGTGGTGGTTGTGTGACGGCTGCCAGAAGCCCGTGCTGCCAGGGAAGAGGATTTTCCAATGCAAGGTGAGATCGCATCGTCCACCCGTAGTCGGTGTACGCTCGTGTGTTAGCAATGTGAGGATTATGTACTGTGTCAACCTTGTCATAAGAACACGACTCATCGTCACGCATTCGTCAAGTCTCGAGTGCCTGAAGGTTGCGAACCCCCAGAGGGCATCGAGCAGATGCTGAATAAAGAGAAGGAAGAGGAGTACGAGATGGACTTTGAGGATATGATCGGTATAAGGACACTCTCTCCCTAGTGTGCGTTTTAAGCAGTCGCCGATCAGGTGACATGCCTACTCGCTTCAAGTACCGGAAAGTTGAAGCCGGCGCGGTTCACAATCTTAGCGTAGAGGACATTATCCACAAGTCCGACAAGGAGCTGAACCAGATCGCGTCACTAAAACTGTATGCCCCTTATCTCGACGAGGGCCCTCGAGAGCCCAAACGAGAGGGCAGTGGTGGCCCTGTGAGTTCCGATCACCCAGGGAAAGGCGGAAAAGGTGGCAAGGGTAAGGGAGGCAAAGGAGGCAAAGGAAAGGGGAAAGGGAAAGGAGCTGCTATGGCGTCGAGGGCTGAAGCTTATGGAATATCGAAGAGGAAGATTCAGAAATCTACCAACGTCAAGAAGCGATAATCGTCCTTGCTTTACCAATACGTATACTTTCATATTCAACAGGTAATTGTGTTTACAATTCTCCGTTTGAGCGATGTAGTCAACATCATATGAAAAATCTATCTATTGGGAATATAAACGAGGCATGGCGGAGTGAAATCCCCAGATTTTGGGCAGATGGAGATTTTACACCAGCGGTAGTTGTTCGGTGAAATTCTAACAACTCGAAGAGTGCCCCATGATTGCTATTCACGGATGAACCGTCGCTGTCGGAGAGTTATCCGGCAGGGTTACGTCTCTCGTGTGCGATCTGTATAGTTCACCGTCAGTAGTGTCATTTGCTCTCTAGAAAAGATTGCAAGTGGTTCGGTAAGCGACTAGTGTCAGTGCAAGGGAAAAGTTTCAATTTCATTGCATTCGACTTGATGTTACAGTTCAATTGCTAAGGTGTTGCTTGACCACTCTTATGACGATGCGATCGGCAGCGGCCAAGGAGAGTCTGAGGGATTCGCCCAAGGCGTCGTTGTCACCGTCACGTAGCGCCACTATCGCACCGGCGCCGTCTTCGTCATCGGCCCTGACCCCTGATCAAGAGGCTGCGGTGCAGGAGGCGGTGATGAAGCAGCTTATGAACTACGGAGAGGGGATGGTCTCCAAGGAACATAGGGCGACGCTGGCAGAGTACGCAAAGGAGGTTTAGAGCTGACGTCAGTTGTTGCATGTATGGACATAGGTACGCGGCGTGTGTACTGCAGACGCAGACAACTGTGAGTGAGATGGTCAGCGAGATGGAGCAGTTCTTGCAGGAGAACGCGGAGGGTTTCGTGAGTTTTTGTCATTTTGGACTCGAACTACATGAACTACTGCAATCAGGTCGAATGGCTGATAGCATTCTGTGAGAATCACGGGCTGCCTCATCCCGAGAGGAAAGCTAAGAAAGTTACTCCGCGAGGTGAGGATTGACGCTCCCGGTTTCCGAATTTAGTAGTGATTGCCAAATCGAGCTGGAATGAGGTTGTCCGCGTTCTCCTATAGGGTATTGATAAGTTCTAACGATAGTGGCTTCGCTTGGTTTGTCGTTTGCCACATCCGAGCCATTTGCTGCCGAGCTAGGTTGGAGGAGGGCTCGTAATTTTGGCTGGATTCAGGTGGTGGTCTTTTCTCAAAGGCGTTGCGAGCAGCCACTGGCCAGCCACCTGCGAGTTCGTCGGGTCTCGCGGTAACTAGCAACGATGTATCACCGTCTGGGGGAGCGGCAGGACGTCAACCTGGCTCTGGGACGAAGCGGGGGGCGGAAGATAAGGGAGGTCCAGATGGGGCCAATAAGATTGCGTGAGTTTTTCGCGTGGGTTCGGTCCGCGGCGACGGCATTCTCGAAGTTTAGTCGCCGAGAGATGAGAGCCATTGCGCGGCAAGCTGATTCAGTGAACTCAAAGAGAGCCTTCACTCTTCTGGCGTCGCAGGATGAGAACAGACATCCTGTCCGGTTACTCGGGCGCAAAGAGCTGAACCAGAGAGCGGTCGCAACGGTGAGGAAATCTCTCGGTGAGGCTCCGACCGCCGGGTAGGTTCAAGTCGCGTCTCCGCCGTTCATGACTGTGTTCGTGACGTCAGACATTCGGGTGATCGAAGTGCCTCCGAAGGCGCTCTCGGTCCACTCATTCGGCCCGTCCCGCCCCCTGCTTATCAGCCGCCTCTCGGACGAGCTTCTCGTGTACAACCTGAGGGCCTCCCACCCACAAGGCAACAGAAAGGAGGAGGGTACTAATCTCGGTCGCTCTTTTTTCCTGACATAAAGTGGTATTGCAGGTACGTAGCCCAAGTCCGGGACGGGGTTGAAATGGCCCCCCATCAGCCGCCTCCGCCGCCTGTACCACCACCAACACAACCGCAGCCCCGTCAGGCTCCTTTCGCCGCGCCGCCCATTACAACCCCACAACGTAGTCATGGGAGGTCGTTTCGATAGGGAGCAGCGTGGTCGATCAGGGAACGAGGATGGATACAAGTGGCGAGCTATTCGAGACGATGCTTTGGTCCGTGCTACTTGTGAGCCGGACTCAGCCCCTGTTGCATCCATCACCAATGGAGAGATTGTGGAACAGTGCGGTCAACGAATAGTAAGAAATAGAATAGCTAGGCAGTTGTTTTTGCCTCATCGCTTTTCTCCAAGTTTGTTGATACCAAGTTTTTCTTGGAGTCGCTTTCTGGCTCGGAAAGAAGGGTCATCAGGTGCTTCAAAGCGGCATCATTCGCATACAAATTCGCCACCCGTCACATCCAAGCTTCCCGGCGCCACTCGGTTGGGTTACTCTCACTGCGGAGTCAGCTGGTGGTGTGCGGTACTTCGAGAAGGGTCCGGATAAGGTACATCGGATGCGGCTGTCTTGCTTTATTTCTATGGCGCGCGACGGAATTTCTCAGGTCCGATATAATGACTCTCAGACGTCCGCTGTGTACGGTGGTAAGGGTGGCAAAGGGAAAGGAAAGGGCAAAGGCAAAGGTGCGATGGCTTCCGGGTAACAGAGGGGAAATGTACTTCATTTTTTTATTTTCTTCTACAGATATTACGCTGGCTCGTTTTCTCCATCGTGGGCTGGCGGATACTCTAGTGGGTATCATAAGCCGAGCTATCTGACTCCAGGCTACTACTATGGTGGATATAAAGGCCGAGGAGGGAGGGGGGCGTTCAGCGGGGCTCCAGGGGGAGTTTCATTTGGCAATATCAAGTGGACTCCGCCGAGTGCGGAACCTGCCACTGAGGTAGGGGTCTCAATATGCGCCATAATTCACAATAGAAAGTATGCAGAGATCTTTCGCTCGATTCAGGCCCAACGTTGAGGAGCTCGCCGAGGTGACTGAGTGTTTTTGAGGGCCTCTCTCAGAGACTGGGCAACGTCTAGTATATTTTCCGATGATGATATCAGTGCTAAAATTTTGATTGCGGTATGGTCCACAATGTGGAGCTAAGTTTTCTGTTGTCTCTGCTCAACTACTGGCATTTCTGTGGTATTAGCGAGATAATATTAGACAAGACGATGATCACATTTGGTAGAAATAACAAGAAGAAAGTCTCAGAAGGATTCTATCATACTTGTGTGCGACGTGTGGCTTTGAGTTCCAGTCGAGTGGGTCGGTGCCATTTCCGGATGATGAGGACTCCTCATTGGGGACACGCTCGGTAGCCCCAATATACTTTAAGCTTCGTTTAATACGCCAGGAGACAAAGTTGCGGACGACCCTGGTTCCTTCCGCCACGGATCGAGGGAGGATGAGAGAAGGTCCAAATCATCTGAACTAGAGCTCAGAAGATGTTCCGTCAAAATGATAACGATCGCTCTGTTCTGGAGGATCCTCAAGCGTCGCCGAGTACGGTTGCGTACGGCACGGCACGCATACACGCTCTGGCGAAGCTACGCTCTGTGTTGACTCGTTCATGTTGGGTTAACGAGTTACCCCAATTGGGGGACACCTTCAACTGTCCCAAGCCAGTCGGAAGTGAAAAAAACAAAAAAATGAAAATGATAACCCATTCTCGGCCTCGGGCTATTCGAGTTTCGGTCACACCGAGCTTCATATGATTGTGTCCACCCCTTTTCATCACGAAGTTTTCAGTGTTAGCACTCGCCTAGGCATTGACTGCTCAACATGATTATGGTAGAATCAGCATTCCAATCGATGAATCGTACGAGAAACTCACCGACGATAACGCAGCTCACACTAGACTCCTCGTACTGCATCACTGGACAACTCTAGACGCTGCTTCATACTGTCGTAGAGACTCTTGTACTTCTCCTCACTGCACTTCGGTACAGCATGACCTTCCTCGTGGATAAGGATTAAGTCCTCATCAATGATATCGTCACAAAACACCATCGACGCTTCATCTGCCCGGCTACTCCTCACCACCACCACATTGGAACTGTCCATTAGCCTTTTAGTCTGAGCCACCGCCGGGCTCACTGGACTGAATAGCACAGCTGTATTCACGAGGCCTTCGCATAACATCCAGTAAGCCATACCGCCGCCCTGCGAGAAGCCGACTACACCGGACGGCCGAACTCGTTGAACTTGCTCTCGCAGGAACTCTTGACTCGAAAGCAGACCTTCGGTGCCGATCCACCCAGTTTCATAGGATACATCCTCGCTGTCACCCTTCCACCACCACTCATAGCCGTCGAGAGCGCCCGTAGATCGTCCATAGCCTGGACCATGGGCTTCATGCGGAGCATTGATGAAGATGAGATCGATGTCGAGGAAATCTCCAAGTCCCGCAAGTTGTTGGGCAAATAAGTCGCTGTTTGTGCGAAATCCGTGTAGTGCAAGCCACTTGGGCCTGTGACTACCCAATGGTCTACTCGGTGTAAACCTCCCAGTAGCAATTTCGTTCAGCGGTAAGTGGCCGACGAGTTCGTTTCCCGTTAGACTCCGCAAGCTCGGCGCGAGTTTTCGGATCGTAGCAGATAGTTGTAAGCGCGCGAGAGAGTCGAATCCAAGCTCGTCAAGCGACTTGTTAGCGAGCTCATCATCCGAGATAGGGCCAAGGACGGAGGCGTTCCCCCTCTGCCGGACAGCTGAGATCAGAGTAGCCAGCCTATTGTTCGAGTCCGTTGAGGAAGACGCAGACGATGCCTCACAACAGTTATGCCATATGGGGGATGCTGGCAACTCGGGCGCTTTCGACAGAGCAACATATATAGCACTGGTTGGTTTGAGATTCACCAGAGGCTTCAGCAAATCCACAGGTACCGTTCGCGCAGCACGTACAGTCACCGTAGGAGACTCAGCGATGAACTTCGAGTCGAGAGCAGTGACAACCAGCGCAGCACCAGTAATAGGATCTTCGTTACAACGTACATCCACTATGGGCGCAGGAGCCATGCCATTCAGTGTCGGCGCCTCCAACTCGACGACCACCTTCCCGATGTTCCTCCCACTGGTGAGTAGCTAAACATCTGAATGTCTCTTATCTATCACTATTAGAACTCACCTCAAGCGCGTTCTTCAGTTCTTGACCAGGGTAGATCGTTACCGGCATGGAGCCCCCGACATCCTGGGCGGCGGCTTCCTGCCATACTCGCCTCATTAGATCGGCCACCTCGGCTGGTTTGGCTGTCCGCATGAACTCATCCAGATGGCATGCACTATATGTCACACCTGAGGGAAGACATAGAGCACGCGCTAAACACTGAGAGTGAATCTAAGCTTAGTGAATGAAGCGATTCGCGGTCCAGTCACCTCTGAGGAAATGGCTCAATGGAAGACTGCTAGCCTCGAGCATCTGCTCTTTTTTTGCGAGGTCAAGTATGAAACCGTTAGAAGCAACAACCTCGAACGACCTGCCATAAACTCGCTAGTGACTACACTGGGGAGATGGAATCGGCTGAATGCGCGGACGCTTACCTCGACAGCTGATCGCCATCAAGAGCACCTATGATGACGTCTGGTCGCATGGCCTTACCAGCCATCATCGGAACATACCATAAAGATGCGTCACGGCTATCGAAGATCTCAGACACACCAAGCCCCTGAGAGATGAGCGAGCAATAGAGATGAAAGCGCGTGCAGAATTTCGAGTCGATCACTGGTCGGGTTATTCCCAACAGCCGCAGCCTACCTCCAACATTCGAACTTTTCTTTCGTCCTTCAGGTTACATGTGCCCATAATGTGATGACCGCGCCTCGAGAGAATGGCGATGCAAGACAGGCCAACACCGCCGGCAGCGGAGTGTACGAGAACCGTCCGGCTGGGGCCTCGGTCGAGACCAGCGCGATAGTCAAGGGCTAAGGACAACGCTAGGGTGGGAAAATCCAGACGCACGACCTACCCAGAATTGACGTAGCATAAGACATGGGAAGCGCTGCTGCAACTGCTGGACCGATATTAGGCGGGACCTGCATCGTTACGGTGTGATAACGTCATGGAAGAGCGGCTTGCCTTGCAACAGTAACTGGCTGGCAGGAGAAT